AGCTTTGTGCTTAATAGTAAAACAACAATGACTAAAAGAAAATGAAAGTTGGTATATATATATATATATATATATATATTGATTATAAGTTATAACACCCTCATAATGCTATTTCTATTCTCTAATTACTAAAAAAAATTAAAACAACATATCCATGTATGTAAAATAAGTAAAGAAAAGTAAACATGTATTTTCCATGGATTGAAGTATTACATCAGTTTGATATATTGATATAATAAACTGTTTTGTGCACAGAACCAAGATATTTTAAATATAAGTAAATGATTTGATCTCTTTATTCACCCGTCCCGTCATGTGAAATATAAGATATTCCGAATATAGTAAGTAATTAATAAGATTCCAAGTCTGTTAAATTAGTATTGAGAGTTGTTCCTGTTTTCATCTGCACATAAACTTGTATGCATTAAAGCTTTACACTTCTCTCCATCAAATAAACACCTTTCAGTCACTTCAAGTTGGATGTAAGCTCATTCGTATATTGCTCAATATGACTGGACTGACAATGGTTGTGTTTTAATTATAATCTTACAGTAGAAGCAGAATCCAACATTTAATTCAAACATGGGGAATGGTAACTGGAATTTTAACATTACCCTTGTATATGAAATAAAGTCAAATGCTCTTTATTACATTTATCATAATGTATTAAAATTTAAGGAAACACCAAATGGTTAGTATGCTCAGATTGTGAAACTGTCAAATTCCACTAATTAATTAGATAAGAGTAGCCCAAGAGCAGTAGTGGGTGTGCTATTGACTTACTTCCTTCCCTCTGCTTTATTTTAAAATTAGGGATGGCTATGCATAAATAACTTTGTATAGACTTGTACAAAGATTCTTCAACAAAAAACAATAGTAAGGTAATGGATTAAATGTGATGTATTTTACCTGGTTAAAGTATAAAACTTATAGGTCTGGTAGTAAACCAGGCACATGTATTTGAAAATTCATATATGAGTTTAATAAACATTATACCACTCGTGATACTAAAAAATCATGTAGAATCAAAAATGAAGGAAATTACAAAATAAGAAACTCAATGACCTAAGTGCTATTGGAAGGTCTGCCTTCCAGAAATGTTTAAGTTGTTTAGTTTCTTTGGTCACAAAACATTGTTAAGGAGGATTTTCTAAAATTCTTTGAGGAACATTAAATCTGTGGTGGTAAATGAAGCACACAATTAGTTTTTGTGTTCTGTAAGTTAAGTATGCTTTGTTTTTTTTTTAATTGTTGCCTTCATGAACAATATTGTTAAAATGATTATTATGTATATTTTTATCATGCTAAATCTTTTATTATTATTTTGCACTGTTAGCTTAGTATATGGGTTTAGGACTAACCTAAATCTCTTAAACTAGCCATGACATATTATTGTGATTATGGCCAACAATATTGGTGTACACAAAGAGTACCCAACCAATGAGACAATGGATTCTGATTTTTATAAGTAACAGCAGCATATTTCATGAGCTACACTCGTTACCAGGTGGAATTTTAGTTATGATCTACGTAGGTAGTTTGCTTTGATCAGAAGATAAATATTGATTATATCAGGGTCTGGTTTATTGTGTTTTTTTAAAGTAATTGTTTATTGACTTTGTTTTCATGAACAAACTTAGCTGGGTTTTTTCATAACAGTGTAGAGCATTTTATAGACTGATATATTTTAAAAAATCAAGTAGATATAGTTTAAAAGAGGTATTAACTTTTGAATAAATGTTATTAAAAGTTTTACGAAACATAAGAAAATGATTTATTAATGTTAGAGGACCAAAAACAGGTTAGTTTTTAAGACACTAGAAAAAAATTATTCTTTAAACAGATCGTCAGTTTAGGAACCTAGATTAGGCTAAACATTGAACCTAAAATTTTGTTGTTGTTTTTTTGGATTTGCAGATTTTATTTAATAGTATTTGCTTATTCATTGGAATTCAGAATTAAATATTTTCATATGTGTAATGTACATACATGTATAGCACAATTACTAAGCTTGATTTTCTATTCTAGGGTCAAAAATTTGGCACAGTTATGTCTCAGTTGTCAGACATTGTTGGTGCTTGTATTGAAGAAATAGTTTTGTATTTTGATGAAAAAACAGTGCAAACGGAGGATACGCCTGATAGTTTGGGTCTTACAGTTGCAGACATTTTAGGTAAAGTATTCAATGGAAATTTCTCTGGCCATAAGTTTTAGTTGATTTTTATAATGCATCTGGTAAATGAGAAAATATTGGTATACTATAAAGTAAATATAATGGGTTCTAGCAGGAACACCTTTGGACCACTAGCATGGGAAAATGTTTCCCATTTGTTAGGTTTTTTTAGAATATTTTCATGTTGTATTTCTGGAACGTCAATAAATCATTAGCTTAAAAACACCTACAGTAAAACAAATACAAGTTGTTTTTTTATTACTGCTTGGAGCTAGATCATCTTTGCCTTAATTGTTATTTTATTCGAACATTTTACTGAAATAGCATGTTCATAGTTTATAACATTGAACTCCTGTGGTCTGAAATATGTCACTAATGAAAACAGTCAACTTTCGCTTGTTATAAATATGAATACAGAAAGAAAGGTTATAGGTTAATGAAAACAAAAGAACAGCTAGACCTAGCTAATCAGTTTATAATTTGGTTTAGAAGTACTGATCATGTGTAGAATATTCTATCATATAAGCTGCATACCCTTTATATAATTTTGAAGCTAAAAGAATGACAACAATTTAGCTTAAAATTAATGTATAATTTAATGTAAATAATTTTTTAATAATACATAGTATGAAATAATAAAGACAGTGCAGTTTTATAAAGAAAATGATTGTATGTTCAGATATATGTTTAGTGTTTTAACCCATTAACTCCTTCATTTTGTGCTTCGTATAGTTTTTATGCTATAACTTTTAAATTAGTAAGCGAA